ATTCAAAATCAAGATGATCTGAAGACTTCTTTGGAAACTTCGATTCTTTAAAATTGATCAAGAAAGTTAGCAAAAATTATTCATCCAAAAAAATTCTACCAAAATTCTTTTAACGTAGAGCTATGAAGTGATTGTTAAATACTACTACTCGTGTATTATAATCCAAAAAATTCAGTATAAAAAACCTTTTTTTAGTTTCTAATCCTTACCTTTGCCCTCCCGCTACCTCTTCCGAAAAAGAAAGGGCACAAGCCCCAAAGCTAGCCTTTAGTTTTTCTTGGTAAGGACTAGGCTAAAGCAGGAGAAATCCCCTTTGACAATTCATCCCTAAAAGCACCCTATGTATGACACTGAAGTCGTACCATGATTCAATGAAAATGTAACTTTCTTTGTCTATAGCCCATGCATGAGAAACATATGCTAACTAACTTGTGTTTAATAATTTTCTGCCCTTTCATGTACTTATTTTTATACTGTTGTTTGCCCCCTCTACCCTTGTTACCAAATATATATAGCTATATGATACGTACATATACGTCTTCTATCTCATGAAATATATTCTTTTACCATTTCCAGTTTCCTCAAGGCTCAAGAATTTATCAAGAAATTTATGTTTTATCGATCTAAACGAGATGAGCAGCTACGTAATCTGTTGCTAATATGCGACAAACCATATGTATCTAATTTTGACATTTTACGTGAACAAAATTGATTTTAAAGGAAGCACTCAAATTCCAAAAGATGCATGAACGTTTTTTTTTTTTTTTTGGTAAGAAAAATCTAAAGTAAATAAGTTATTCAATTTTTTAGGTCAAGATAAAATATATCGTATTTGATAATTTAAAATAATTAATTATAAATTATCATTTAAAATAATTTTAATAAATAATTATCGATAAAACTCGAATCTAAAACTTATTCGTAAAGAAAAATAAAATTTAACCAATTCAATTGACCAGTAATGCATGAACGTTTGACTTTAAAAGAAAAGTTCTACCAGCTTCAGCTCGGGCATTAGTTGCAGTTCACTTCATTTGGACTTAAAAGAAAAATTATTCGTAGCCCTATCTTAATTATCACAGCTTAAAGCCTCCAAGTCATCAAGATAATCAAAGAATGCTTATTAGTATATACATATACATATACATATATATATATATATATACATTTTATCTTAAATTGTCTTTTATGATATCGGTTATACCTTCACGCTTTCAAGTTCAACCACCGCCCTCCAGCAAGTTCCTTCTTTATCATACTAGGAATTGCATCAATAATATTAAAACCATTCGGTGAGGTTGAGAAAAAGAAAGACTTATTTACATGTAAATAAATAAATACAAAGATGGAAAGTCAATAAAAATATTTACGCTATTAACAAAATTACAGCCTAGGAATTTTGTTTTGATTTGTTGTTTCTTGTTTAGTTCCATGTACTTGTAACCATTGCATCTCAATTCGTGACTGAATGATTTCTTTATTTTGATTGTTAGAGCTTTGATTAGTAGCCGCATTATTTTCCTTTGGCTTGCAAGAATCTTGGAATTCTGTCTCATTTGTTTGAGGTCTTGAATCATCCCCTCCTCTCTTACAACTTTATCTCTATGGTCAAGATGAAAACTAGTTTAAGTCTTACTATAAAGTGAGTTTAATTAATCCAACATTAAATTGCTTTTTGTTTTTGTTTTTTGTTGATTAATTTGTTTATTGGTTATTGCAAGTTTTGTAAAAAAGGAATGTTTTTACTGTTCTTATTGTACTATGGAAGATGATTTCAGTGCCTGTATCATGTGCGCTCTTTCAGTATGCACAGAATGTGCCGCTTGAAAGTTAGAACATCCATGATACCACACTTTTAATACAGGAAAAAAAGGTTTGTTCATCGCACTGCTGAGGGGGTGAAATTCCAGGATCCATTTTTCAGTACTGGATTTTTTTTTTTTTTTAATGTTTGATTGAGTAAAACATACTCTTCCCTCTGCTCAATAATGCAATTCCAAAACAACCACTAGTTAAAAAACAAAAAAAGAAAAAAGGATTCTCAGAAAAAAAAAAAAAACCCAACATTTTACTGCCAAATAGAGGAGTACATTCATGTGCCTTAGAATAGAAATATTTTTAACCCATTTCCCCACAAAAATTACTAAAGTATAAAATTGAAAAAGAAATAACTGCGGTGAGGGAATACAAATGAAATAAAGTACCCTAACGAGGCACAAAAGGAAACAGTCCCATGTGTATCCAACTAGTGCTCCATCTTTCTATGTCATCCCACCAATTTCTTTATTTGCACAATTCACCAGCTTTTATTTTCTTATGGCCCACCAATAATCAATCACAGCAATTGACTTTTAGGATCAGATGTAAGGTTCTTAATCAGAGGGTTGAGAAGTCATCGTATAGGGCAATTGTACTCTTGTTCTGCCATAATCTACCCAACTGGTCTAACAAGCAACCTGCCCACCAATATTTTGATTATTAATTTAGTGTAAATATTTTAATTAAAAATAATAAATTACTAAAAGTAACAGTATAGAATAGAAGCATCACAAGTACCCACAACAACCATCCAAGAATAAATTTTTTAGTTTTTTTTGTCAGTATTAATTTTACAAACAAATAATTAATTAATATTAAATTAAAAGTTGGGACAAAAACTGGCATGTCAGCCAACCAAAACTTAAAAAAAAAAATTCTTACAAAGAGCAAGAAAAGGATAGAACACGTCAGCAAAAGAATTCTAAAACCATATCTATGAAATTTTAATATTGTTATTTTGAGTTGCCTTGGATTTGATTAAATAAGTGGAAATTCTACAAATACCAAGAAAGGAATTAGTATCATTATAAGGAATTAATCTTATCCTAATTAATTTTTTAATTAATTATATATTGGCAGCCTAAAATGTTAGGTTTATAGGTACATGTTGAAGCCATTTTGATTGTCGCATGAAAGGCATATAAATCATCAGTCACATTGCCAAGAGAAAGTGAAGAAGGGAAGGCCATGAATTCAATGGAGCCAAGGGCTTTGGTTTCCCAATATTGCCTACGTTTTGGGAGTTGGAAGGAAAGGTTAGCGGCTCAACACAATGCATGGCTAGCTATAACTTTTTGGGTTATATCTTAATAATTATTTACCCTACCTAATTGGCTTTGTTCATGTTTTTACAATGTTAACCAAGGTGAAAGCAATAGATTTAATAATAATAATGATAAATGAAAAAAAAGAGAGAAGGAATCTGTTTGTGCAGGCAAATAGAGAAAAGGACTTGTCCTATGCAAGTGTCTTAGATCAAGAGACATAAATTGCAGTTTTTACTAATTATTTGATTCTAAAACACTGAAACATGACAAGAAAGATGACAGTTCTTTGACTGTCATTATCCAGAAATTGCAAGCAAAACCTCCAGCTTTCAATGGTTTCCCATGTATTTTGGATGCACATCATTCATTCCTTAATTTGATCAACTCCTATTATGTCCCATTTTCATTTACCAATTCCCTCGAGAAAACTCCATACTCTAATACTCCAAATTATATCTCCTACCAAAACGTAATCGTGATTTTGATAGTTATCTTATAAAATTGAGAAACTTTTTTTAGTATGATTCATCATTCAATGATGTATTATACAATATGACACTTAAATGTGGAAATCATAACAGTAAAATAAAAAAAAAAAGAAAGAATACAAGCAATTTTGCATACTCTTATTTTCGGATCAATCCCACTTTCTTTCCAATGGAGAGTAGAATTATCAAAAAGAAAAAAAAAATTAAAAGAAAAAGATGAGAGAGGAGATAATAATGGAAGAAGAGTCAAAGTCTTTTTGTCATATCTTTTTTCTCAAACTTTTTAATCATTCATCATAAACATGTAGATTACCCATGGGGTCCCACTCCCTTAAATCCCACAGGGCATATGATCAAGCTCATTGTAATGCTCCTCTCCACACTTCTCATCACATCTCAATCCAACATTAAAAATTGTATCCTTTCAATAGTAAGTTCATCCATTTCTCTGGAATAAAAAATGATTTTGAATTCGAGAATATATAAAAATTTAAATTTATTCTATTAAAATATTAAAATATTATTATTATAAATTAAAAATTGGTGATTATGATTAAATCATTTTAAGATTATGTGATAAATTTTGCATAATAAAATTTATAAGATCAAAATTCGAATTGTATAAATAATTTGTTTATTTACGTTAATTTTAAATAGACAAATCCTTATTAAATGCAATTCTTTTGTCTTGACTTAGATTAGAAAATTTATTTATCCAAAACAACTTATAATATAAAAACATAAATTATTCTAAATTAAAGAAAAACAAATTTATGGACACAATCATATCAGTATTAATATTAATACATTAAATTTAATCAAAGTTTTGAACGAAAATAATACTAGAATGATGATTATTGGAAGGTCTTTAGTATTTTTAATAATAAAAATTGATAAAATTAATGATTAGATTAAATTATTAAATTGAAATAATATAAAAATTAAATTGTAAATTTTCATAAACTATAAAAATTTTTAACATAATTTTATTTTTTAACAAAAAATAATTTACATTTTTTTTCGTAATATTTTGGTAATTTGGTCAAAAGACGAAGGGCATTAAGACGAAAATGGCGTTATCTCACACAGCAGCCTCTCTCACCTACCTTCATCTCGCTATGTTTATACTCACCTACACTACAGATGTCTGGCTAAATTCTTTCTATGCAAAAAAAAAAAAAGAGTTTTAAAAAACAAAATTTCAATCCTTACAGAACCAATTAATTTCGTTCACGTATTCTAATTAAATAAACAAACAAAACATTGTTTTTTTTTTTTCTTTTGCTTTTTCAAAAATTCATTTTAATAATCTATCCAAAATGTCCGAACTGACAAAACCATCCCTCCATCAGTGGCATCTCCGGTAATTTTTTCTAAACTCCCTGCCTATTTCTAAAAGCTAACCTTTTCTTGAGTTTAAGGTGGCGCACTTTAGCAGAGGAGAAGAGAAAATCGAAAGAAAACATGAAAGTGAACACACAAAACTGAGAAAAGAAAAGCTCTTCAAGGTTTCAATTCAAAACAGTGACATAAAAAAAAGGAAAGAAATCCTAAAATCTCTCTCAACTTATTCTTTGTTTGTGTCTATTTTTTCGTGGGCCTTTTTCTTTTTTTGTTGTATTTTTGAAGTAAAAAAAATGGAGCAAATTTTGGCTGTCTTCAAGCTTGAAGCATGTGGCATCATCTAGGGGAAAAAGTTGAAAGCTTTCTTCATTTTTAGCTTCGTTTTAGTAGTATTTGTTAAAGATAAAAAGGTTTGATGGGGCGGGGTTGCAGGAGGATGATAGCAGGGAATTTGGATCCTGAAAGAAAAAGAAGTGGTGGGTTGAGAACGAAGCAGGCTGGTAGAGGCTCTTGCAGAGGAAGTTAGCGTTTTCTGCGTATTTTTGCCTTTTCTTATGAATGTGGGCTATTAAAAAGATTGAATTTGAGTCGTTTTTGTTGGTTGCTTTGCCTACAATATCTACATTTTTGTTGGGTGATTTATATTTTCAGAAGAAGGAAAAAGGAGAAGCGCTATGGGTGGTTTGTTGAAAGAAGCTTTGAAGTCACTTTGTGGGGTGAGTCAGTGGTCTTATGCTGTGTTTTGGAAGATCGGCTGCCAGAATACTAAGTAAGTTTTTCTTCTTCTGTTTTTGTCTCTGCTTCGTTTTCCCTTTATTTTTCTTCCCGGGTGTCGTTTGGTTGTGGAAAAAAAAAATGAAGGAAAAAGAAAAGAAGGTTTTTTTTTTCTTAATACTGCTATACATGTTTTTGCTTTGGTCTGTTTGCTCAAATGACTGAATTTTTACTTAATCTGACTTATGTTTGTATCTTCATTTGATTTTGCTAACATAGTGGAAACAAAATGTTTTTATTTTTTTTGTTTTTCTCCCTCCCTTTTTTTGGGCTTAGATTCTATTTTTAGAATATCTAGCTCTTTAAACTGAATTTATAGTATTCTTTTTCTTTTCTCATGATGAGTTAAAAAAGTGAGCTTTTTTAGTGACTTTCTTGACAACCAAACAGAGGAGAAGATCCAAAATAGCTGGAAGCATTTTATTGGGTAGTACTGTTTTTGGTCTTTTGAGGTGCAAATCTTGTTTTTAGACATGTTAAAGTTTGATTGCTCACTGTTATCTTGTAATCTTTTCTCGATTCGTAATCTGATGCTGCTTTTCTTTTCTGTTATTGGAACTTTGTGTTTTGGTTTATTCTGTTTTGTCTTAAAGAATCTTAGAGAAAGCAGATTTGTATTCAAGTTTGACAGGAAACCCTCCTTGTATTGGACCGGTCTACTACTGAAAAATCCATTGATTCAGAATTTTGCTTTCCTATGTTTGATTCTGTGGCCTTATTTTGTTTGATTTTGTGGCCTTATTTTTACTTGCTTTCCTTTGTTTGTTTGGTTACGTGACCTTATTTCCATTTCTATCAGTGCTCGAGTAGAATCTGCTATTAGTTACTTTTTGTCATTGTCTGTTTGGCTGCTGGAGAAAATGTAGAGAGAAGAAACAATATTATAAACTTGGACAATTCATTTTTTTTTTTTTTTATTTTTGAAAATTATTGTCCCCAAGCTTTCTCGGAATTAAATACACTATATGCATTTATTTTCATTTGTCCTCTCCTTTGAGTTATCAACAACCAAAAGCTTTTGGCATCATTTGCCTGAGGAGTCTCTGTATTAAGAGTTAAATGGTTATTGTCTTCTCCATTAAAAAGAGAGAGTTTTGCATTCCTAGGTCTTAACTTTGTATTTTACACTTTACAGGTTATTAATTTGGGAGGAATGTTATTATGAACCTGCACTGTCTCCCGTCCTTCCATGCATTACTGGACTTCAGAACCCTGAATTGTCATTTGGAGAGTGGGAGGGATCTTGGGGTTCTGAAACTTCCTCTCAGCTTGGGAGTCAACCACGGGACAAAGTCCATTTGCTGATAAACAAAATGATGATAAATAATCGCATTAACATAGTAGGTCAAGGGTATGCTTCTCCGTTTTCCAATTTTCCACTTACAGATTAATGTTATATTTTAAAGTTCTTTTCCTTGTTTTACTCAAATATTTGACACACTGCTTACTTTTGTTTTTCAGGTTAGTTGGTCGAGCTGCATTTGTGGGAAATTATCAGTGGATTCTTGCAAATAATTTCATCACAGATGCCCACCCCCCAGAGGTATATTACTAATTCTAGCTCCTGACAATGGCTATAGAGAGTTCTATCTCAATAAAGCTGAAATGCTGATTGTACTGTATGTGATTAGTGCATGATTCTACATGTATTAGTTTTAAAGAATATCCAGGTTTCATTCATCAAATGTTAAACCTGACAAACTTTTTCTTGTTCTGTGCATGAACTTTGACTGATGACAATGAGCTTTAGATGGGAACTAAAAGTGAATTGATAAAATGTTCTCTCATGAACTTTCTTTTATGAAAAGGGTAGAGGTGGTTATTGTTAAAGTAACAGAGCTTAGCATGACTTAAAATTTTTGTGGATGCTTCTAGGTTCTAAATGAGGTGCATCTCCAATTTTCAGCTGGCATACAGGTTTGGTAACTTCTACTCTTGCTTATTATTTGGTTATTATCCCTCTACTTCATTATTGGACTTCTATCCATTGCAGACTGTTGCGGTTATTCCTGTTCTTTCTCATGGTGTTCTTCAGCTTGGTTCTTTCTCTACTGTAAGTAATTTTTGTTCAGTTATTCAGAGATGTGAGAGACCTATACCATATGTGGCTTTCTGTTCATTTTCATAGATTTAGATGACGTTATATTTAGGTTCCATTTAGAACAGCATAATGTCATTGACAAGGGCCAACAACCATATGGTTTGTTTGTAGAGTGCTGATTCTTAGTTCTAGCGACCGGTGAATCCCTGGCAACCTCAAATACCATAAAAAATGTCCTTGACTAGGGATTTAGGTCATCTTTGGTGCATGGGATAATTGACAGGATAGGGTGATAATCATTTTATATTATGTTTGGTTTGTATTTTAAAAAAAAGGATAGGATTATAAGAAGGATTATTATCTTCTTGGTATAGGATAATTCAATCCTCTTAAAGTGAAGATAATTATTTTTAATATGTGGGATTGAACTACATGAATTATTATACTCTTAAAAATTATATCAATAATTTAAATTGTATAACTTTAAGAAAGGATAATTTTGACCAATAAATAAATTATCATATCTTAAGCTTTACTTACATTAAACACAAGATAGAATGACATTGTTTAATCTAATCCTATTTATGATATTATCTTATACTATCTTATCATATATTGTGTACCAAACGTGAGTCCTACTAATGCGGTAGCTATTCTCTGATTTCGCTCCTCCCTATGTATGCTTGATTTTATAAAGGCAAATTATGTTAGTGGCCTTGGAGCTTTAAGTGTTTAACTGTTCTTCCTCCAGATTATGGAGAACATGGGATTTGTGAATGACGTGAAGAGTTTAATTCTGCGTTTGGGATGCATCCCTGGAGCTCTTCTCTCTAACAGCTATGGGACAAATGATTGCGTTGAAAAAATTGAAATTCCCATTTCAATGGATTCAGTTGGAATTTATAGGTCTACAAATTCCATGACTTCAGTTGCTGAAGGCTGCAACCAACAAAGCAATTTATCTCAGTCTTCGAGGGTTATTGGTCAATCATCTTCCCTGATCGAGCAGATTCAAGAAAACTCACAGGGTGCTCCTTCAACTTCCCAATTACCTGGCCTGAACCATACTGCGGCAAAATCTCATGATGATAACAGTGAATCAAAAAGCAGTCCACAGATGAAGCAAAACCTAAATTTTAAAAGTCAAATGGACTGTGGAGATGTTGGTGCTGAAATAATTCCCTCTAACCCAACTTTGTGGCTGAACCCTCAAGTTTCTTTTTGCAACTCACAGTCTGGGTTCAATTGTCAGGCCATAATTGGTCAATCAATTGCCAGTCATAGCAGCATAAAATCAATGGAGCAACAGATTTTGTTAGATGCTGGTCTACAAAATCATGTTATTAACAGCAGTAGTGCGTCAAATAGCCAAATGAAACCAAAATCAATCCCAGACATTGTTCCTAACTTGATGAAACCAGAACATATTACTTCCTCTTGCACGCAACTGTCAGGGAGTGGGTTTCAGAAAGTTTGTTCATCTAGATTGGATGTTCCTTTATCCATCCTGGTCAATCAATTAACTAGTACTTGTATGCTTTCAGGAGTTCCTAATCAAGGACATGATTCTGAGAATTCTAATTGTGCACGAGCTGCTTTAGTTCCAAAGAAAGAAACTGTAGATAATGATTTGTTTCAAGCACTTAATAGTCCATTGCTCCATGCTGATGATGGCATGCCTTTTACTGAGCAGTTCCCAAGCGCCATTCATGATTGCCTTAAGCATGAAAGTGAAAGTTTGAGTACTAGATCCTTAAATGTAAAGTATGAAGATGCATGTGTCCATTCTCCATCAGGGAATGACTTGTTTGATGTGTTGGGAGCAGATTTGAAGAGCAAACTACTCTATGGGAAATGGAATAATGTGCTTGCTGAGGGATCAGATTTGCAGATGCAAAGTCCGGGTACAGATACGTCAATATTTAGGGATATGCAGAATGAGTTTTCTGATATTTTTTCAGCTAATGAAGGGATATCAGACCCCTGTATTTACACTGGGGTGGGTACAGATCATCTTTTGGATGCTGTGGTTTCTAGTGCAAAATCTGCTGCGAAGCAGATATTAGATGACAATGTGTCCTGCAGGACAACATTGACAAAGTTCAGTAACTCCTCTGTTCCTAGTAGTTCTCCCACCTTTGGCCAGGTTAGTATTAACAATCAAGTGCAAGGGGAGTCGCTTGGTGGCCTTCCTAAGTCTTTGTTGAAAGGTGGGACTCTTCCATCCAGTTCTTATAGATCTGGCTGTAGCAAGGATGATACTGGGACTTGTTCTCAAACTACTTCAAGGTATGGTTCTCAAATCAGTTCATGGGTTGAGCAGGGTCATAATTCAAGGCGGGATACCAGTGTCTCAACCGCATATTCAAAGAGGAATGATGAAATGATCAAACCGAATCGCAAAAGGCTAAAACCTGGAGAGAATCCTCGACCTAGGCCAAAAGATCGCCAGATGATCCAAGATCGAGTGAAAGAGTTGAGAGAAATTGTACCAAATGGAGCGAAAGTAATGCATCATTTTAACCACTTCATATACCTACATCATTCTTTGCTATGCTTTACTATCATAAATATTGTCATTAATAATGAGATTTTAACAGTGTAGCATAGATGCCTTACTAGAGAAAACCATCAAGCATATGCTTTTCCTGCAAAGTGTAACAAAGCATGCAGACAAGCTAAGACAAACTGGAGAGTCTAAGGTATGGATACTTTTTATGCTCGTAATCTAATTTCTCTCTAAAGCTAATATGTTTTCTCCTTTTCAAAGAAAAACTAGAAAGTGAATCTCTTTGAGTTTGCAGATAAAGGAAAACTTTGAGGGTGGGGCAACATGGGCATTTGAGGTTGGTTCGCAATCCATGATCTGCCCTATTGTGGTAGAGGATCTGAATCCACCTCGTCAGATGCTTGTGGAGGCAGGAATTTTTATACTTTTATCTGAAGTTGGCTTAGAGATAAAATATCTTTCTTGTTCGATCCTTGTGATTGCATTGTATTTATGTTCCGTGACAGATGCTTTGTGAAGAACGAGGTTTCTTTCTGGAAATCGCTGATTTAATCCGGGGTTTGGGATTGACCATCTTGAAGGGAATCATGGAAACTAGGAATGACAAGATCTGGGCACGTTTTGCAGTGGAGGTAAGATCTTGTCAAGTATCCTTGTCCATTCCAATAGATTTTTGTTCTGGTCAATCTTACTAATAGATATTTCACCTATTGTTCTGTCATGGACTGGCATGGAAAAAGCAATATGATATCTATATGCCTAATATTTTTGTGTGTTATTCAACATAGACTAGTACTAGAAGATAGTTTTGAGAAATATTATGCAATCTAATTGGAGTATATTTCTTCATAAGAAAATAATACATTTTTACACTGCAGTTATTAAGCAGAGAAGAGAGAACTAATGAGGAGATTGGAGCAATATTTGCCAGGATATTATAGACTTTGAAGAGACACTGCAGTTTTTGGTATCTAGACTTGTTAAATATCACATTTATATGCAGAAGCATGACCACATATTTTGAGATACCTTGCTTTCTCTGAATTAACTTAAACAATGTCATAAAAGAAAATATCCAAAGAGATCCCAAGTAGGCAGCCATTAAGAAGAAACTTTTTATGAATTTGAGGGCATAAATTTGGTAAGAAACAATCAAAAAACTGTATCATGCTTTCCTCTATGATGCCAGATCCCAACTATATCTGTCTAAATTGAATTTAATTAATATAGGAAGGGACTTCAGAGCAACTTCCTGCACTTGTGTTATCATGGACCTCTTTACTGGAAATTAAGGAACATTGCAACCTCCTAATAATGGTTAGACCTAGGAACACATTGATGGCACTGCTGGATTTGATGACTTACCATTGGAGTCAAATTCCTCTTATCTCATTCCGCTATTGAATCTTTTCCACCAAAGATTGCATACTTCATGCACATTCATCACTCAAATGTCTGTTGAATATGTGCCTTATGAAATAGTCAAGCAACTATTGTTCCACAACCAAGATGGCTTTATATCCACAATTTTTTATTGCAATCTTACGCTCCTTTATGTTGTTTATTGCAATAAAACACTTGGTATCTGTTATAGCTTTTAACAAGGTGTAGGTGGCTTTTGAGTTAGTTAAAAATCCCTTTCTTTTTTTATTTGTGGCAGCAGATGCAGTGACTAGCCTTGGTACTTGTGAGGTTGTTGCCATGCTGTATGACATTGCTGCATGACACTATCAGTTGGTCTTAAAAAAAAAAATACTAAAATTATTTGTGGTCGCAATCTGCGCAAAAGAAACTGTGGAATTGTTTGTTAGTAAAAGCTAATCCAACATTTAGTTTGAGGATTTCAAAATAAAAAATAGTTTGAGGAGTTATCAGTGATTGAGGCACTAAACTTTAGCCCTTATTTCTGAATCTTAATTCATCTATGGTCTAGGTTCTTTTTTTTTTTTTTTTTTTCCTGTTGATCAGGAAGGGAAACAATGCATTGGGATGTTTCTATGCAGGGACATACACTTTGTAAATATAACTAGCTTATGGTGAAATGCTAGCAAAGGAGTTTGTATCCAACTAGCAGTTTGATTCTGAAGAAATTTTATGTCTATGATTTGTTTCTTCTTTGCATGACAAAAATACAATAAGCTATTTCTTTAAATTGCATGTTTCGTGTGTTTATGCTAGTTATTTGACATGAGTTTCCTGTACAGGCAAACAGGGATGTTACAAGGGTGGAGATATTTATGTCACTTGTTCGTCTTTTGGAGCAAACTGTGAAGGGCAGCACATCAACTGCCAATGCTTTTGATTGCAACAATACGATGGTTCATCACTCTTTTCCCCAAGCTACCTCTATAACTGCAACTGGTAGGGGCAGTAGTTTACAGTGAACCACCTTGCTGCCTGGTTTTCTGGTTTAGATATATTAAGAGCTAAGAGCTAGCCTAGCTTTGCTTGCCATGACTAACATACAGTCTGGACTTGGGTGGTTCTGACGTTGACTAACGATTTTGTCTCCCACATGACTGACCTTGTTTTGGAGAGGGGGATTTGTTTATTAGTGAAAGCTTGTCAACAACTTTCAAATGGCCTGCTTTGAACTTCTGAGGTTCCTATTATGTACCTTAAGAAGAAACAGAAAAAGAATCAGTCTCAAGGAGAACACCATTCAGGAAAAAGAAAAGGCTTTTCAGATATTTGAATTTTGTTGAATTCTGTTTGATGGATAAACCTGTAGTCAGAAAGGTGGGTAGCACAATAGTTCAGCATTTATGGTTTTCTCAAATGTATAGAGGAATTGGGATATGAAGTGAAGGGATGAGGTGTTTTGCCACCAGGAAAGGGACTGCATTTTTTTCCTCAACACCTGCCCTGGAGTCTTCTTTTTTTCTTGGGTTAGGAATGTTTTATATCTTGTGGTAGTACTGGAATGTTTACGTTCTGCTAATCTATGCATTTGCTGAATGAGCTGTTTGGTTGGTTTAATAGCGTTGGTATATTGGTGCCTCTGACCTTGTGAAAGCAACATTTTGGTGAATGTTGTCGAGTGTTGCGAGCTTAAAAATTGGTATCTAGTGTTAACATTGTGATCTGCTAAAAACTGCCAAAACGGTGGTTCCTTCTCACCCACAAGGAACTATACATCTCAATTAACTTGGCCCGGTGTGCATCCTTCAAACTTGTACCCGGGCATATGATTCCAGGATAAGTAATGATTATTTGCATTCCTGGAACTTCAATGCTTTCTCAATCGTCTGAAGGAGTTTTCATTCATATTTAAAGGCATTTTTAAACACTTACAATAGAAAGTAGGGACTTTTTAAGCAGGATAATGGCATGTGTTTCAGAACAATTAAGAAGCTGATTACAGGGAAGTTATGGTATCAAAAAAGTCTTCGCAGTATTTAAAATTTAAAATATAAAAAAGACCCAAGAATTATTTTTAAAAAATTGAGTTTTTGTACTATTATTGCATTTAAATATGTCTCTCGATTCTTATATTTTAGTATATAAATCTTTTTAGGACAGAACCTAATGATATGATAAAAAATATACATGTGGCCACAATGATTTACATATGATAGGAAAAATGAAAAAAAAAAAAAAAATTTCAAAAAAGGATGGTTTAACAAAAATTTTTATATATTGTTATTTTTTTACTAATAATTATTTTTTATCATGGTCTTAATTGATAAAAATTTTGTTAGACCATTCTTTTTTTCATTTTTTATTTTCCATTTTTCATTTTTCTATCATATTATGTATTAGATAGTGGAAAAGAAGAGTTTAGATAATAAAAAATAAAAATTTAAGGACTTATTTAAATGCAACAATAATATAAGTGTTTAATTATATATATATTTTAAATAGTTGGAGGGCTTTTTTCATATATATATATTTTAATATTCTAATTTATCCCTAACTTCTTACTCTTTATACTTATTAAAGAGAATATTATGAGTTTAAACTTCTTCAAATTTTTAACTTTCAAACATCAATAAAAATTTTATAGCAATTGTAGATACTTTATTTGGTTTAAGATCTAAATTAATTGAGCCCAAACTAATTGGATCCAATTTGATTGAACCCAAATTGATCCCGACCCAATTATCTTTTTTTTTTTTTGTATTTATTGTTTTATTATTATTATTATTATTTGTTTTATTTTTTATTTTATCCACATGATGGTGTTTATTTGTCTAGGTTATTTATTTATTTATTTATTTTATTTTTGTGTCTAAATTTTTCTAAGACTTTTATTTTGATTTATCTCTATTTTTAATTTCATTTATCATTTATCTCTAAATGTTTTATTTGATTAGGTTCTTAAAAAAAAGGAAAAAGATACTTGAAAGGAAAAATCAAAGGGCTAAGGATCAATTAATAGAAATTGGTGAAGATTGAAAAGTGGGATTTGGTAAAGAATGAGAAAATTGATAATTTATGTTATCAGAATTGAAATTGAAGGATTTTTAAGGATAAATTCCATTTACTTATTGGGTGATAAGATGGAAGTGTTTTTTAGGAATTCAATCTCTAGTCAGTTAAGGATTAATCAAATCCGACCATATAAATAAACTTACAAATCAGACCTTCAAGACACAACAATCAGGAGAAACACAAAGATAGCAATAGCACAGCAAGAATAGAGAGCGAACACAAGAGCAATTAGAGGGAGTAGATAGTAGCAATCAAATACAAATAATTTTTTTTCAAGAGCAACAAATTTTCTAGCAAAATTTTTTGGAAATTCGGGTTTTGAGAATTTAATTGAGTTTAGTCAGTGGTTTTGAGGATTCCAGACGATAAGGCTTTCAAATTAGTGATTTTTGGTGGTTTTCCTGAAATTTATGAGTTTTTTTATAAAAAAATTTTAGATTTCGTTGAATTTCCCGATGGTTTTTGAATTTTCGGTAACTTTTTGGCTTTGTTTTTTAGATTTCGAATTGATTTTTCAAAATCTGACTGTAGATTCAATTGATGTTCTTCAGTTAAGAGAAAGAAATAAAAAAAACAGAAGTAAAGAAAGTGGAAGAAGATCTGAAGAAAAAACCAAAGTTTTCAAGCTTTTATACCCTTATAAAATGACGTCGTTTTTTTCTTTTTTAAATCCGTGTAAGATTTGCTCATTACCCCATTTGCTGACCTAACCCGTAGCATTCTCAACCCTCATTTCTGAAGTTTTGTTTTCTGTTGAGACAAACCAGTCGCTAAGCCAAGCTCTGAGTCGCCTTATCTTGAGCCTTTCTTTTTAAGCTTAAGTCAAGCCGAATCGATTTTTTTTGGAATATTTTTTATTTTTTTATTTTTAAATTGATCTTTTTATTTGCTTATTTATTTATTTATTTGTTTGTTATTTTTTTTCTTTATGTGATTATTTGTGTATTCATTTATTTGTAAATATTTTTTTTGAAAAAATAAAAATATTTTTAAACAAATAAAAATGAAATTTACTAACATATTAGAGGGTTTAAAATTTTTAAAATAATTTTTTAAAAATAAAATGAATCTTATCAACATATTGTGAGGTTCAAGTTTCTAAAAAATAAATTTTTAAATAAAAATTGAATTTTACCAACATATTGAAAGGTTCAGATTTTTAAAATAAATTATTTAATAAAATAAAGTCTTACCAAAATATTGAAAGGTAATTTTGTTTTAAAACAAGGTTTTACTAATATATTGGAGAACTTTATGAAGTTTTTATAAAAATTAAATTTTAAGAAAAACAAAAAAATAGTTTTTAAAAAGCTTTACCAACATATTGAAGGACTTGTGATTTTAGAAAAAAAAATAAGATTTTACCAACATATTATAAAATTAGATTTTGAATTTCAAATGGAATTACTAACGTTATGTTTGGATAAATATTAGTAAAAGAAATGAAAGGAAAGTAAAGTAAAGGAAGGGAAGATTCTTTAAAGGAAAGGAAATAATATATGAACTCTTTATTTAGATAGCTAAAATTAACAAAGGAAAAGAAAGTAAAAGAATCTTAATAATTATTGTTTGGTTAAATAATAGAAAGAGAAGGAAATGATTTATTATATTATTTTTTTATATATAAACTTTGATAATATTTGTTTTTACTATAACATTTACAGGTTTATGTTAACGTATTTCATGTTTTCAATTTTCTTTTATTTCTTTATAAAAATAGTCATCAATGAAATTTATGAAATTTATAAAAATAAAAAAAATAAAGATAATAAAATTTATTGGTAAATAATATTTTGTATTCTCAATCTAATTTTGAAATTCAAAATCATATACTTTTAATTTAGAGAAATTAATAAAAATATAATAATCATTTTATATTTTAAAAATTTTATTCTTTTCCTTTCCCTTCCTTTTCTCCTAATTTGGGGTAATTAAAAAATGAACAAAGTTGAGTAAAATCAAAAGGAGTTGAGCATACCTTCTTCTTTTTTTTCTTTTAATTTTTTTTATGTCATATACAAATAAGGAAAATGATTCTCCATTTCCTTTTGTTTCCTTTCCATTCCATTCCTTTCTTTCCCTTTATCTCAATCCAAACATGTTATAGGAGTGTCGCAAATACCAATTTTTATTTAAATTCTTAAATGAGAGATTTCTTATAAATTTTATCAATAAATTAAAAAATTTATATAGAAATTTCCGATATCAAGATTCTGAATCTCATTTGATTATCATAAACTAATTTTTTTATAAAATATTAATAAATTTAATGACGGAACCTCTTTAGAACGTAACAAATAATTTCTTTGAATATTCTTGAGGTGAAGTAATGTTCTTGAATTATTACCAATATATGGAGTAATTTAAGGATAGTTTTCAATATTAAATTATTTGTAAGACTTTTTAGGCTTTTGGATAACATGAAATTAAACTGATATCATCATTTGGATGGCGTTATGAAGGTGTTATAACATTTTTCATACATAATTGTATTTGTACTCCCAACTTAGTTTTTGTTTCGTAAACTATAATCTACCTTTTAAAGATATTTGAGTCAAGTTTGAAGTTTTTTTTTAAATGAATTAGATTTAGTTAAGTGGTTGATAACATCTAAACAAAAAAATTTGATGACGACTCCTAAGGTTAAGTCTAATGATAAGTTTATGGATATGACACCAATTGATCTAAACATGAATGATTGCAGGAATGGTGTTCGTAAGGGTATATAGTTGAACTTTAAAGGATTTAAATGCCTAGTGAAGGCCAAACGCATACCTACACATAATTTGGATGGTTGGGGTTGGCTGCCAGGCTCTGGCCAGGGACTTTGGGGGAATGAAGTTCTTTCTTGAAATCCTAGAATATGGCTACCGTTAGCCTAACTAAACATAATTTGGCTTAGAGTGTTAGGCAGCAATCTCCTTGATGCATAGTCCAGATTCTAAAATTATGGTGAAATTAATATGTTGAAGAGTATGAACTTATTAATGAAAACTTTTTCTTTTTGATGCAAAAATTAAGTGCTTGTTCGGCTTAATTTCTTGAGTGTTATTTCTTCCCTGAGTTGCTGGGCAATACGAATTAGAGAGAAAAAAAAAAAAAAAGGCTTCTAGAGATGTTTTCCAAAGTAAACTTTCAGAACATAGAGTTGAAAAACTTTCTTTGGGTAAAAAAAAAATTATTGAGAAGTTTATAAACATAAATTAATTCTTAAATAACAGCAAAACACCCCAAGGTTGACATATATTCATACAAAACTTTAAATAAGATATAAAATAAAATATCTTTATTTATATATTTTCTTTTGTTTCTTTTTTTTTTTTACATCTTATATTGAGTTATACAATAAAAGAAAAACATTTTTCATTCATAAATCTCATCCATTATCTATTTTAAGATTTGAATTTCAAACTTTTATAATAGTATTTTAAGTATGGAAGAAATTTTATTTATTTTTGTTTAGGCATGGTATTTTCTCATTTCAATTGCTGTTCCAACGTCTTGTATTTCAATATAAAACGTGAATAGTTGTATGATATTTTAATAAAACATTAGATTCTTAATTTTAATGATTGGTGATTCACTTTTTGACATGTTTAAATACAACAAAGAAAGAATTCACTTGTATTGACATGGGCTTGATGAAAATGGGCCATTTCTAGCCCATTATTTTAGGTTCTGAGCTAGACCAAAGCGGGTAGGTCGGTTGTACTAAATGTGTAATCGAGTCGAGTTGGTACAATGAGAAATTTGAGCTTGAGCACGACTCTCAACTCGAGGCTCGATACT